AATGGAAGTACAAAAGGACAAACTCACTGAAAAAACAGACAATGCATCTAAGCTTTTGGGTAAATTCTCTAAAAATATTTCAGAACAAAAGTTCCCACGTGTCCACATATAAAATGAAACATATAGCATTACAAAGAAACAAAAATGGACAGTGTTATGCATATATAGTTAAATATTCTTTTTTTTTTCTGGGATAAGATCCCATCTTCTTACGGGATGTTTCTATAACTTTGAACTCCACAAACAAGTGTCAACACACACACACAAGATCCCTTCTCAAGTCTGAGAAGTTTCACATTTAGCATGACAGAGATCCAGTGTTCCTAAACTTATTTAAGGAAAAAGTCTCTTCCCCTTCTGCTGGAAATCAGGCAGATTTAGGTGCACTAAGCACAAAGCAGAATTTAGAGAGCATATCCTTTTGTCTATAAGGAAGACCTATGGGATTTGACACAATCAAACCTCTCATTTTTCTTTTCACTGTGAAATGTAAATGAAACAAATGGCATCTAAACATACATGTACAAAGCACGATACAAAAATTAGCAAATATCTCTCCCCCTTACCATATTTTTGTTACTTTAGTAAAAGGCCAATGTGGTACTTGCAAACGCTTTAATATAGTAATATGTTAACAGCAGCAATCTGCACAGATAGGAAGACAAGACTTGGAGAAAGAAAGAGGTTGCAGTCCAGAACTAGAAATATTTAACATGCCCAAGGAGTAAGCTGTCCAGTCATAGCGTAAAGTGTTTATGTTGTCATGTACCTGCAAGGCCACAGTGCCTCAAAATGTGCCCGTTTCATTTACCTAGCTATATCTTCACTTCCTTACAATCATGTTTCCTAATAAAATCAATTATGAAACCATGTCTGCTCCCCAGGTAGTAATGGACAGTTGGACACCCTTTACCTTTTTTCAGGTGTCTTCTTGTGCTGCTGCCCTTCTACATATGGAGAAGGTCTTTGGTCTTCCCCATAGACTGCTCTGCTCCTTATCCCCAACCTTCATTATTTGGAAAAGCAATGCAATAACCTTGTTCTCTGCCACCAATGAGGATAGGAAGGAATGGCCCTTAGGGCCATTTTGCCCCACCATCTCTTTCTTAGTGGGAATGAAGTTGGCACAGGGGCTGCTCAGAAACCCTGCCCAAGAAGTCAGCAGTTCTATTGCTCCACTAAGGCACTTACCCAGGCAAAAATACACAGCAGTTTGGGTGAGCAGGAGTTTCAAGCCCTATTAAATACAGCAGATTTTTTTAAAGGCTCATTTTGTCTTTGGGGTTTCAAAGGGTGCTTCAGCAACTCTGATACTTTAGCACCTGAACCAAAAATTCCAATATGGGAAGGGCTAGGAGTTAGGTTTATGATCACTAGATGTGTAGATGTCAGAACAGCAGAACTAATTCTTGTACCCAAAGAGAGATGAGGTTGCCTTCTATCAAGTATTTACATTTCTCATTTTATAGTAAATGCACCGTAGTGAAGCAAGTAAAAATAAAAAAGGGGGAACATACTTCTTCCTCTTTTTTCTCTGTTATAACTGAAAATGTGAGAGCATCTCAACTGAGAGTTAACTGAGAGTTTGACCCCACATCTGCACTGAGTATCCTGAAGTGCAAAAGCCCACTGAAGTCAATAGGAGTTTCCAAACACAGTGGTAAGCAAAGGATTAAGATGTTGGGAAATTAAACAAACATGAACTTACTGATAGCATACAACCTTTCCATCTATTTAAGTTAACTGAAGTGTGAAAGGCAGATGCTATAAAATGCATTCATGGCAATGCAGTACAATTTATTCTCCAATGAATGACTATTTTGGTAAAGTTACCAATATTCCCTAATTTTTTAAGAGGCAATATCACAAATTTCAAACCCACAGTCTAAATTCTATGTTTTTAGGACTGATCCCTTGTTCTGCTATACTTAGAAATAATATTTAAAATGTGGCTAAAAATAAGGTGTACAGGGGTGGGGCATATATAGATGGTGACATATCTTACCAGTTTCTTTCTTAACTCATAGACATCCTTCCACAGGAAATGACAGATTGGGGGTGGGGGGGATTATCTTCTATAACACTTATTTCTCCTTCACCCTTTCTCCTAACATTCATTGGAAGTTCTAGGCATACATTTTTGCTGATCCAGCAGTCCTACCTAAACCCACTTGCCATATGAATATACGTACCTTCAACCCTCAGGAGCATCTGGGTAAGAAGCAGCAACTGGGGATACATCATGGAGTAGGCTTCTTAAAGAAGTGCTGTAGCAAAGGGGCCAGAAGAAACAAGCACTTTGGG